GCTGATGATGATGATGATGATGATGATACGGGATGCTGATGATGATGATGATAACGGTGATGCTGACGATGATGATGATGATGGTAACGGTGATGCTGACGATGATGATGTTAACGGGGATGCTGACGATGATGATGATGATGACGGTGATGCTGACGATGATGATGATGATGATAACGGGGATGCTGATGAGGGTCTCCTCTCCTCCTCGCTGCAGCACACACATGCAGGACCTGCAGGAGGTGACCCACGACCTGCACTACGAGAACTTCCGTGCGGACAAGCTCGCGAAGGCGGGCAAGGCGACACCAGGGGGCGGGAAGGACAAGCTTCTCGCGGACAAGGAAGTGGAGCTCCGCAAGATGCAGGACATGCTCGCCAAGATGCAAGCGCAGATTGCCTCCCAGAGCAAGTAGCCGCTGCTGCCGCAGGGTAGAGAGCCGGAGAGCAGGCGTCGCAGGGTAGAGTGTCGGAGAGCAGGCGTCGCAGGGTAGAGGGCCGGAGAGCAGGCGTCACAGGGTAGAGGGTCGGAGAGCAGGCGTCGCAGGGTAGAGGGTCGGAGAGCAGGCGTAATGTAGCTTGTAGTAAGGTAGCAGATGAGGTGTAGTGTCATGGCATCACAGAGCAAGTAACTCTGTGGCAACGAGTGGCACCGTCAACACACGCACACGAGAATGACAGATGCGCATGTTTTGCGGTTCAGGCTACACGGTAACCGAGTTGGTGGCGAGGGGAGAACGAAGGCTGGGTGATGGGTTAGTGGTAGTCGGAAGGGTGGGTGTATATGGGCGTAACGTGACACGGCACGCGAACACACGTGTGCGGGATTGGAGGGATGAGGTTTCACAGCTTCGGTTATAGGATAGCCGCGTTAGTGTGGAGGGCACCGGGAAGGGTGGTGCGTATGTACGGCTGTAACGCCAGTGTTGGAATGTCGCTCTCGTGGGATGCTGCTGCCGATGTATCGCCCGCCGCCTGCTTTCCGCGTCTCCCGCTCGTGCGCACTGCGAGTCAGCAGCACGGGGGGTCGGTGGTCGGATAAAAATAGCTGCCGAGCGTACGCCGCCGCTGTGACGCGAGTTCTTGGGCTCAGCAAGGGGAATGGATCGGTTTCTCGGGATCGACGCGCGCGGAAACTGCGCGGGCCGATTTCGATGCCGAACGATTTTCGGATCCGGTTTTCTTCTTTTGCTCTCGATATGTGTCGATGATTATACTAACTGTTGTATATTGTTTCGTCTGTTCTTCGGTGTTTTGTTTCGACGCTGCGTCGAGGCCGCCGTGGGGAGTGAGATGCGCAAGGGGGGTGGGTCGCGCGCCGCTCGTGCACCTCTTGTAAATCCGTATCCGTGTGTGAATGTGTGTAAAACACAAAAACTCGCTCTCGAGTTGATGAGAAGGAATCGTACGTCTCTTCGTCGTTGCTGTTACGGTAGTAGTTGTTATTTTGTCTCCTGCAGAGAGGTGATCTTATGTACGTGGCGCTTTGCTCAACAAGACGCTGATGCTTCTACGCTCGTACGCACTTGCCATTAGCTTCTTTTTTTCCAAATTAAGTGTCGGGGATTTGCTATAGGTGGCGTTGACACACGGCAGCGTCTCTCGTGTAGAATGTGCCTTGTTGTGTTGATGGAGCCTAGCCGTTGCGAATACCGAACGTGTCGAATTTTATTCAGGTATAGTTGCTGCGAAAAAATTGGGGGAACGTGATGGTGTGAAAAGCATATGAATATGCAGAATGATGTCCTGTGGATGTCAATACGGTATTCTTAGCACTCTTCCAACGTATGTATCTCTCTATTTTAACTGAATATGTCATAATGAGAAAATTTCTGATATGTAAAAGCACATGACCTATGACAATCCGCTTTGCTGATTTTACTTTTGTTTACAACTCGCATTTTGTGTATTTAGAGTTTTTTTTGGGATGGGAATTAATATCTGCATATTTGTGACCCGCTCCAGCATAATACGGACTAAGTCGCAAGTCATTGTTTTGAGTAATGAACACGCACACATGTCAATGCTGAAAATGGCCTACCTGGACAAAAATGAGATTTTTTCAAAAATAAGTTCCTAAGTGCATATTTAATCCAGATATATAGGTTCAGATATCTCTAGATTATTATGGTCATTTTTAATTTAAAAAAAAAGAGAATTTTTTAAAGGCCTCTGACCGCTCATCCCCGACTGGGCCCCTTACCCGGAACGCTTTATCTCAAAAGCTGCATATTCCGGAATAAGTCGGTTTCCGATCTTCAAATAGCTGTAGATCGGTCAATTCTTTAGATATAGCCAAATATTATATATCATTTTAAAGGTAATTAATTGATCTATTCAGATATGCACATAACTCAATTTGTAGGATTTCCTACTTAATCCTGGTTTTGCTGGAGCGGGTCACATTTATTTGTGTACGAAATGTTTGTTTTTCATGCACAGCACCAATTCGTCATATCAGTTACTGTCGGGATGGTTTGTAGCGCTGGGTTTTTCGCATTGAGGTCAATAGTGGTTATTTCGCTTACTAAGTTAAATATTAGATTTGATCGCTGCCAGCATCCATGCTATCTCCGGCATCCATGTTGTCTTTGACATCCATGTTGCCCACGGCATCCATGTTGCCCACGGCATCCATGTTGTCTTCCTGGCATCCATGTTGCCCACGGCATCCATGTTGTCTCCCCGGCATCCATGTTGCCCACGGCATCCATGTTGTCTTCCTGGCATCCATGTTGCCCACGGCATCCATGTTGTCTTGATCGTTCGCAGTTAAACAGGGGATTGCTGAGACTGTATTTATCGGTGAATATATCGCGTGCAGTCGCTGCAACTTAACGCACGCGGACTTGGCAACATACGTCACAGCTTAGTAAGACCCCCAGCTTATGCACCAGTGGCTAGACACCCTGCAAGCGAGGATATCGACTGCTTTATGCAGTGAACCAGTATGTGTACCAAGTGCTCGATAACCCGATAGCCCGGGGAAAAAAACATGGAATGATTTTAATCGGCGCGTGCACCCTAGGTGCATATAGAACATGCATATATGCGCATGAGAAATAAAACTGGGTACAATTATTGCGTAGGATGTAGCGCGTGGTGAGGGGCGCGGGGCGACTGTTCGTCTGGTGAATGGTGGCAATGCATATGGCATGCCTAGGAGAAGGTTCTTTTCGCTGCAATAATTCTCTGCTGGAGAGGAATATAATTCTGCAATAGCGTAGTCGTTGTACCGTTACGTCGTGTTTGTCTGTTCTTTACGGCGTGTCGAAAATGTCGAGTCGGCATGCTCGTATGTATCGTACCAGAGTAATTTTTTATTGACGTTCTTTCTCTCTCTCTCTCTCTCTCTCTCTCTCTCTCTCTCTCTCTCTCTCTCTTTCCCATTTCTCTCGCTCTCTCTCTCTTTCTCTCTCTCGCTCTCTTTCTCTCACTCGCTTGACACGTTCCATATTATTCATCCTAAATCTGTGTATGCAGCTCTCCGCTGCACCACTTGTCTGTGTACAAGGGGCTCCATAGGTAGAGGTAACTTCATCATTGCTCGGTGTGCACGCAAGCAAAATTAAAAGTTTGAAAGATCATTGCGTGGGGAACCTAAAATGGTTGGGTCTTAAATATGGAATAGGGATCCGTATTCCAATATCGAATCCCCGTAAGATCGCATGCTGCGAATGACGTGTTTCTAGCAAAGCCTCCATGTTGTGGTGTGTGTAAAAACATGAATGAGTGTTGTACATCCGGGAACATTAACAGGGAGCCTGTCCTATATCTGCATGAACGAGCTTGCCTACTCACTCGTTCTGTATATTATTCAGTGTCAATGTATCAACATATGTATCTGTGTTATATCTTCGTCTATAAGATCAATAAGATAAATGTCTGATAAAAACAAGTCTCGTGTTTGCATCTTGTTTTCGATTACCGTTGTGACCAAATCGAAGATAAATATTACATTAAAATATTTATTATAAAAAAAAAAAAAGATAAGACCTATTTCTGTTGATTCATGCCGAACCAACAACGAATAGAACGACAGACACAACAGACAAAGACAAACACATGAATAGAACGGGCGACGGGAAGGATAGGTAAGGTGCTGCGGGTCCCAAGTATAGAACTGTATCAAGAATTTATTAAGACAGATTTAAATTACATCGAATAATATACTTTAGCTTTCAATTTGAAAGAAATTGCTATATACTAGTAAGTAAGTAAGTAAAAACTTTATTTAACGACGGTAAAACATGTTAGGTACAGACACAATAAATTGGCGCGGACCTATCTTCCACATGGCCGTCTCTCATAAACGGCCTAAAAACTGACTAAAAACGGAAAAAAACATGTGCAAAGAACCGAACAAAAAGTGCAGCGCGTAATAATAACATCGAATAAAATCGTCGGCACAGTATATTAGCACCGATACCATTTCATCAGTAATAAATAATAAGAAAGTTGGACACGCTCGAAGCCGAGACAAATTGAACCTCTGAACACCTTAATTTACTTATGCGTTATCACGTGAAACTCACATCAAACCTACAGCAAGAGTAACGTTGTACACCCAAAGTTTACGAAAATTTTTGTATGTGCACATTTTCTTTTTATGTGATGTTACATCGCGAGCGTCGCACATCGTTTCTCTTATATTCACGTATTCTGATTTTATCATCAACGCACTTCCCTGCGCACACGTGAACTATACACAAAAAGCTGAGAACATTAAATCTGCTGTACATGTCTACATAATTACAGTCGCTTTCCCCCAAAAACCACGAGCATGAAATAGGTCATAAAATAGGTTATCATGACCAGATATAACGTGTCCATAAGATTAGGGGAAATACGTTGTATTAAGTGCATGGTTAATAATAATATAAGACGGCTAGCGAACCGCGCCATTTCTCATGTACTTTTGCATAGCGGCAGAAAATGGCGGGATGCTGCGGCCGAGATAAAATTCCGAGATCGCATTATGAAATGCCCATCTCCTTCTGGCACGCCCCTCTCATTTTACGCGCGTGAGATCGGCCGAAAAGCATCGGCTGGGGTGGGGTCGCCGACGAGCGAACCGGCTATTTAGTTTAGCATAGCGGCAGAAAATAGCGGGATGCTGCGGCTAAAATGAAATTATGAGATCGGGTTTTGCCACGCTTATCTTCTTCAGGGCTGCAACTATTTTTTTTTCAATCACGTAATATTACTAGCTGCTACGTACGTCACTAGCCAGATGTAGGCACCTCCCAGTACATCGTAAAAGGGGCCAGCTGTAATAAGTAGCTGTAATAATTCAAGGGGCCAACTCCCACATTACTCTCGATCAATGGCTTATGTGCGTGCACACACGCGCGCACTCGAACACACACTCGCGCGCACGCCCCCTCCCCCACACACTCACATAATGTATTGCCTACAGATTTATATAATGTACAGGGATACAATTTGTCAATAAAAATGTTTGAGTCGGCCCCTTTTTGGCGGGTAGGTCGGGTGAGGGCAAACAAACGATATTTTTATTATGGCCTTAGCTAGCACTCAGAATGTGTGGGTCTGACGTGGCTGTACGTTATATATCAGCGCGTGTGTCTAAATGGCTCTTAATCTAGCCACTGACAGCATTTTTAAGTCACACGCCTATTGGCCCAATTTCACGCTTCGGCTTTTGCATTGTTTATCGAAAAATTACAATTTAAGTTATTTATTAATTCTACATTTGAGTTTGTCCATGCAGTGTTGTGCCGGCCATACCTTTAGATGGTCCCAAAACATTTTTGGGCCATCGCTCCCTCGTCTCTTTATACTCCCACTCCTTATACACACCCACCAGGGGGCGGTACAATCCATTTTGTAAGCCAATGCTTTTAGACTTTCCCCGCTCTTTTACGTCGTTGCGACGGCATTGCATTCCGTGCTGACGTTGCTCTTTGTTCTTCCGATGGTGGCAGTCTCAGGCCGTTGGACGTGGAGTTCATGAAGAAGCTTCACCACAAGGTCAACATCGTGCCGGTCATCGGCAAGG